TACAGGGTGGTTGAGAAAGATCCCAGGGTTATGCTCAAAAATTGTATTAACAAAATCCTTGATAACATCAAACGAGGTAGAAGGATGAATGAGGACATACTGAGAAGGATACGCCCTAGTGACTCAGCACTAGCTAGATTTTATGGGCTTCCAAAAATACACAAACCAAATGTCCCACTCCGCCCCATTGTCGCGTTTAAGGGGAGTCCTACCTCTGAGTTAGCCAGATGGCTGAGTAACCGTATCGGCCACCTGGCCAATGATGGCACGTACACTGTTAGGTCAGCGGAAGAATTCCTTAGCAAGATCAAAACCTTGAGGGTAGAGGAGGACGAATTAATGGTGTCTTTTGATGTCGTTTCTTTGTTCACCTCTATACCTCAAGATCTCGCAATTCTAGCCCTTAGGGATCATCTAGAAGATAGGAACTTGGAACAACAGCAAGACTCTCTCCGCACAGAAGACCTTATCAAACTGACTGAGATGTGCCTAAAAACTCATTTTATCTTTCAGGGGACCATCTACGAGCAAACCAAGGGCACACCCATGGGGTCCCCGATCTCTAGTATTATCGCAGAGGTGGTACTCCAACGTCTAGAGCACATAGCGATGGCCCAATATCTTCCTAAGTTTTGGGCCCGCTATGTTGATGATACATTTGCAGTTATAAAGAGGGACCAAAAGGCTAGCTTTATGGGCATACTGAATTCGGTATACCCGGACATCCAGTTTACCATAGAAGAGGAAAATCAGGGTTCACTGGCGTTCTTGGACGTTTTAGTCCACCGCCAATTGGATGGAACTCTTGGTACCAGGGTATACCGAAAACCTACCTGTACTGACAGAGTTCTCCATTACAGGAGCAACCATCCAGTGGCCCATAAGGTTAGCTGTGTTAGGACCCTCTTCAATAGAGTGAGCTCCCACTGCAGTTCCATTAGAGCTTGCATAGACGAAAGGAACCACCTCTTCCGGGTATTCAAATTTAACAGTTACCCAACAAAATTTGTTAGACGACACAGTAGACCACCTGAGTCCCTAAGGAACCCGGGTACGGAGGACCCACCCCCAAGACAACACTGGTTACCCTCCCCTATATCTGTAATGTCTCTGAGGCCACTGCCAGGCTTCTGGCTCCCTACAATGTGAAAGTAGCTCATAGGCCCACCTGGATACTGCGTGCCACCATTATGCGCCCGAAAGACCCTCTCCTCAATATGAAGAAATCATCGATCATCTACAGGGTTAACTGCAAGGACTGTTCTAATAATTATATTGGGGAGACTTCAAAAAGATTGGGAACTAGAATCCAAGAACATAGATTGGCGATAAGAAGGGGTGAGCAGTACTCCCAACTGTGGACACATATGGCAGAAACTGGACACCATTTCAACTTCGAGGAAGCACAAGTCCTAGCCAGCGACAATACAAAGAGTGGATGCCTCCTTAAGGAGGCATGGCTGTCCAATGAAGAGTCTATTAACCGGCATATTGATCTCTGCCCGGCACACCTGACTTTAAGAACCTGGTGTACAGAAAACCCCCCACCCCATCGCAAACAACTCACGAAGCTACCGAACGCACCATTGGAGAAAACCATCAAAAGAGTCTTGCCCCCTCACCACCATCTTCAGGTAACGGACGTTCAAGGGAAGCAGGAGCCCTGTTTAAGAGACCCCCCACTCCCCGGGATGGATAAACGACCTCAAAGACCAAGATCAGAAAGAATTGCGGATGAGGTGGAAGAAACGACTTGTGCTGAAGAAACTGACACACACACCCAGAAACAGCAAAAGAGCCGGAGGCCAGCCAGTAGGAGAATTGAAGATACCCACAGCGAAACAAGAAGGGAGAAAATCATAACCCCCGATCACTGTATTAACAGCTTGGTTAGAATTGGTCGGGAGGTGAATGGAAGGAGGGGGAGGATTGATTCTCCTTCCCTCCCTTCTAACAACAAAGAGGATAGGAGAAAGCGGATTGGAGCTACGATCACTCGGTCATGGGCAAGAAATAGGGAAATACCCACATCAGTAGAAGATAATCCCCAAGAGATTGACATACGGACATCGAACCGAAGAAAGGGGAGTGCAACAGTGATTAGGTTAAATACCTTAACAAACGGCAATAAACATAGAGAGAGGTGCGAAGGGGAGGGGGGACAACAGCGCTGTGTATTAGAACAGCCTAGAGGGAGCAGAAAAGAAAACAAGGCTAATAGACAAGAGAGGAAATTGGAAGACATGATTACACAAAAAAGAAGGGGAGTAGAGGCTTTACCCGCGCTAAACCTCCAAGAAAGGACATCCCCTGCTATTACTTACACTGATACGGATCGTGTGGGAAGGACAACTCCCAATAAGAACTCGGTGCCTGGAGTACATTCTAGTATAACCGGCCCAGTGACGAGATTGAAGAGTCGTGCACACGCCCTAATTAAACCTATAAAGGGACTTTCCCATTGACCAGCATTCTAAGCCCTGAAGATGTCAGCGGATGCCGACGAAAGCTAGGCACTTTTATTGATTTCTATGTATTTTAAAGTTTTTAATATTCTTAAGAACTTTTATCTTTAAATTATTATTATTAAATTATTTATTCCCTGGTGCTCACGTCTATTGACTGACTTTGAACATATATATATATTCGTCTGTCTTTTATGTTATTCATCTGTCTTTTATGTTATTTGCAACCATATAACCAATAAATTTTAACACTTTTGCACTTTTTACTCTTGGTGTTCGACCTCTTTTAATCATGAATATTCCCAAGAGTCGAATTTTTAATACTATAAACTGTCATATATATATATATAATTTTTAGTTCTTGGCCAGCACTGCTCTTTTTTCTGAGATGCTTTTCCATTTCCAGTCTAGCTGAAATCAAGATATATTATATCTACAGGAGGTTGGACTAGAAGACCTCCAAGGTCCCTTCCAACTCTCTATTCTATTCTATTCTATTCTATTCTATTCTATTCTATTCTATTCTATTCTATTCTATTCTATTCCATTCCATTCCATTCCATTATTATTTTGTTATTCTATTCTATTCTATTCTGCTCTAATTCTATTCTGCTCTAATTCTATTCTATTCTATTCTCTCTTCTCTCTTCTCTTCTCTTCTCTTCTCTTCTCTTCTCTTCTCTTCTCATCTATTCTATTCATTCTGGATTCTATTCCATTCCATTCTATCCTGGATAGATATTTCTGGATTCTATACAACAATAACAATAACAATAACAACAACAACAATAATAATAATAATAACAACAACAACAACAATAATAATAATAACAATAACAACAATAGCAACAACAACAACAACAACAATAATAAATAAATAAATAAATAAATAAATAAATAAATAAATAAATAAATAAATAAATAAATAAATAAATAAATAATGGAAGGGATCTTGGAGGTCATCTAGTCCAACACCCTGCTCAGGCAGGAAACCCTATACCCTATACCATTGTTCCACTGGTTAATTGTTCTCTCTGTCAGGAAATTTCTCCTTAGTTCTAGGTTGTTTCTCTCCTTGATTAGTTTCCATCTGTTGCTTCTTATCCTGCCTTTCGGGCGCTTTGGAGAATAGCTTGACTCCCTCTTGTTTGGGGCAGCCCCTGAGATATTGGAAGACTGTTATCATGTCACCCCTAGTCCTTCTCTTCATTAAACCTATTCTTTTCTTTCTTTTCTTTTCTTTTCTTTTCTTTTCTTTTCTTTTCTTTTCTTTTCTTTTCTTTTCTTTTCTTTTCTTTTTTTTTCTTTTCTTTTCTTTTCTTTTCTTTTCTTTTTTCTTTTCTTTTCTTTTCTTTTCTTTTCCTTTCCGTTCCGTTCCATTCATTCTGGATTCTATTCCATTCTCTTCCTTCTCCTGCAAATATTAGCCAGTTTTGTCCCTGTTGAACTTCTGAGTGAGGCCCCTACTTTGATTGGGGATCTCAGTATTGAGTTTTGAGGGCATGATTTGTATGTTTATTAGTACATCAATGCCCTGCCCTGCTTGGCATGGCCAGTCACAAAGATCCACCAGATCTGCTCTCTAACAACCCAGTGAG